CATATAAACACAATTAGTCCACCTAGATTATCATTCAATTACTAAAACCACACAGGGATCTTTCAGCAGGGCTAGGGTGAGCGGCTTTGTAATAGAACCGACCAATTATACGAAATTAAGTAAGAAAATCATCCGTCAGAGCAGATGATTTAGCAAACTTAAGCCCGTATAACCCGGTAGTCCGTGAAATCACGAAGGATTTCAAACCAATTTCCATTCCAGCCAAGATCGTAATAAGTTTAGCGGTCACCATCACATATTACATAAAAGTTTGCATCTCAGATACATCAGAGTTTAAACATAGTTATTACAAAACAAGTTCGAATAAAAGTAGCGGAAGTCATTTGTTCAAACCACACACACACACACTCACACGGAGTTTAAATACAGTGCCAGCGAATGATCATCCCCAACAAAAGCATTAGACGAGACGTAAGGAATGACCATGCCCATGGTCCTAAGCATCACCCATCGCAGGATAAAGGCAGTTGATACAGTAGCCGTAATACATCTGCCCATCTGCAACAAGTGAGAATAAAACCCTGAGTACGAGAAGGTACTCAGCTAGACTTACCCGACATAACCGAAAATAAATGACACCAAGGATTATGAAGGCTTTATAGTAGGGTAGCTGACTCATTTGCAAAAGAAGCATTTTTAGCATTTCAAGAACCTTTCTAAAAGCATTATTGTCAAGTTAATTATTATTAACCTGTCGACTAGATTTGCACCTAAACTAGAGCAAACATATGATTAAGCAGATAATGATAACCAATGATCATTAAACAACTTCCATACTGTCATACTCACTATAACTGTCCAAGTGTTCCATAAACATTTACTACGATGAAGTAACTCAAGTCAAGTGCTCACTATCCAGGAGCGATGGCGATTCGAATCGATTCCTAACCAACTGGTGATTTATTCCTTACACAAACCTCACTCACCCGCTAAAGTGAGATATTGATCACCGAGTCAACTTTCCAGGTATCTCGAGTTTGCTAGGAACCACATGTACCCGGGGGCCGACCGACTGCACTTTGGTCTTATCATCTCGCCCCCGTGTCCTACCACACCTGCTCCGGCACAGTGCGCTGCGGGCAATCTACTCGGCCCGAAAAATCTCCCAGCTTCGCGGTCGGAAGGTACTTTATCCGGCCAGCTAAATGTAAGGCATGCGTTCAACATGACTCGAGGCCCAACAACGGTCGGTCCTTAATCTACACAGACGGAAACACTACAGTCCAAAACTCTACAAGTCTCCGTCCGGTCTCAATTTCATTTAACACTTAGTTATACCATGACTTCATAGTCATCCAAGCAGATCCAGGTAACCACCTATAGCTCGTAGGTGACAGGAAATCACCCGACTTCTACCGGTCTAAGCCAGCTAAGCATTGACTCGACTGCGGATACCAGGGTAACAAGGATATAGTATAACAAAGGTAAACAAGGTATAATGCAGCAACGGTTGCAAACAACTCCTGAACATAATGCATCAATTAAAGTAAAGCATTTAATTAAATAATTGCAAACCGGGAGAAAAATGTTCCGGGGCTTGCCTCTCTCGAAGGAGCTCGGACGGTGATCGGGGCACTCTGGAAGTTCCTCAACGTCCTCCTCGTTGGCTTCTGGCACTTTCTGCGACTGCACCTCAAACTGCTCCTCGGGCTCTTCGGGTATGACGACTGGGTTCTCGGTTTGCGATCCTATATGATGCAATATGCGTAAGTGCTTATGCAATCGGTGCATCGGATGAGATGAATACAATGGATATGTTTGAATGCAAGGTAGTCAACATCATCCAAGAAAATATACTACAAGCACATGTCATCTACTGCATTCTCTTCTACTACTAATATGTTAAGTCAACACATCTTATTAAATGCTTCAAAGATACACCAAAGCTAACATTATTAACTAACTTGCATTAAAGATGATTATTTTATTTCATTTTAAACTAGGGCTACAACAGCAACCTATATTTCTGGTGCTTATAAAAATCTAAGAAAATTACAGTAGCATAGTACTACTCTAAGTAGACTACCATAAAATTTTCATGGCGTTTGGATAAGTAAAATAGTCTACACAAAAATGACAAGGCATGGCAGGATTATGAACATAAAAATACTTTGAACTGTGAAAAGTGTCAAACAACAGAGTTAATATTTTTCCTAGGTTCTTCATAGCATACAATGACTGTACAAAAATTATCACATGCATGTTTTATACAAAGTTTGCTCTCTAACTAAAATAACAAAATCAGCCATTAAAAGTACTTGAACTACACCTCAAAATTTTCCCACAACACATGCATGAAACCTATTTTTCCTAGGAAATACATGACATAAGAAGATTAACAAACTTGGAATCATATTTTTCTGAAGCCTATAGAATTTTCTACATATTTTTCAAGTTATCAGCAATATACATGATTAAATAAAATTCTATAGAAAAATATTTCAAAAATGACATGCAATAATTTTCCCTAGTGGATCTGATGATAAGGAACCTAGATAAATTTATTTCAACAGATTTGGAGTAACTTTCAGTACCCAAACATTTTGCAAACCATTTCTATTTTCAAATCATAAAGAATAAATTGAAAATAATTCCTTCAATAAACTTTCTGGGCGGCCCGAATGGATTAGGCGGCCCACGATCTAAACTCGCGCACCCAGCGAAGGGAGGGAAGACGGCCCGAGCAGCGTCGGCCCATTTTCCTGCTCTACTTCAAGAGGCAGAGAGGCATCTTAGGTCTGTGTGTGCGAGAGGCAAGAGTGCAGGGCGCTCGGCTCTGGCGGAGAGGAGAGGCAAGAATGAGCTGAATGAGCAAACGACAAGGCCAAGTGGTAAGGTAGCATGCGTTGTGGGCTGCCATGGTGCTGCCAAAAACAAACGCCGACACATTGGTCGCCACGTGCAAAAGCTAGCTCTGTCATGGACGCCTTGGCGGCACATTGTGTGTCAGGCTGCGGAGGTAGGCGGTGGGCGCGCTAAAAGCATTGGTGGGCTGAGCGAGGCGAGGCGCCATGGTAGGTGGTCTGGTGGGCCGACTTCGATCGTGGGCGAAGTGAGGCGACGGCCATGAAGGAGGGAAAAGCCTTTTTCATTTGTATTTTCAAGAATTTTTAAATGCCATCTTTCAAATATTATTTTGAGCAAGAAAATGACATCTTTTGAAAATGTACCAAAAATAAAAGTTGATTAGAATTTAATTTTCTCCAACTTTGCTTTTATGACCGCATGATCAAATTCTTTCTAGATTTTGAATTGTAAGGTCAAAGTCCACGTTTAACTCAAAACCCTAATTTTTGGGAATTTATTTTGAAGCCAAATTTTGAATTAATTGAATACAAACTTTGCTCCAAAAATTAAACTAAACATTGCTAGATGATTTACAATAGTAGCCAAACATGTTTTACTAACCTAGCAAGCAAAATCGAGGCAAAACAAGTCTAACAAAAGTATGCACATTCGGGTTTCACAATATGTTTCAAATGTTTGAAGCATGTTTTTCAATTGTTATTTACATGATTAGGCATGTGTGATTAGAATGTTGATGATGCATGATATGCATGATTTGCGATGACTAAATGCGTGCATAACACCGTGTGTTAAGGCTTACAACGGGGCAGGGCGAATGGCAGTAAGACGCAGGCAGTGAGCACATGGCATGCATCCCACGCGATCGCCGGGCGTCCTCCTCAAGGCGTCATGGGACCAGGTACTCTTAATGTTCTGTGCTCTCGCGTGAAGATTTCCGAGGAAGAAGATGTCAGGAGTAGAAAAGAAAAAGGTAATTAGGGACATTTTGGTCTTTTTATTCCTTGATGTTGTTTTGCCAATTTTTTTTATAAATAGATTAGCTTTTCTTAAGAAAACTACCTGTGAAGCTATTTTTTCTAAAAACAACAACTTCACTAGTGAAACTGATCGGTGCCAAAAACTCCACTCTAAGGCCCTATTTGGCTTACCCCATATTTAGTTTGTTCGACTTCTTTTTTCAGCTGGAATAGTGTTTTTCTCTCACAACAATTTAACCGGAACAGTATTTTTCAGTCAGTTTCAGCCAAGTTTCAGACCAGCGAACGGGGCCTAAATCTTTTCAAAACCATAGTTTTACACATCTGTTGCTTTTTTATTTAAACTAAAGTTTCTTGAAAGCACGGCATCAAAGTTTCTCGAAAGCACGGCATCCAAACGCAAGTGATTTGTAGAAATTTGTCCTGGACCTTGTTTAGATTGTAAATTTTTGTAATCTGGATACTGTAGCATGTTTTGTTTGTATTTGACAAATTTTGTCTGATCATGGACTAATTAGGCTTAAAAGATTCGTCTCGTGATTTACAACCAAATTGTGTAATTAGTTATTTTTTTACCTATATTTAATGCTCCATACATGCGTCCAAAAATTGATGTGATAGAGAGAGTGAAAAAACTTGGAATTTTGAGACCATCTAGGCCTCGTTTAGATTGTAAATTTTTGCAATCCAGACACTGTAGCATATTTCATTTATATTTGACAAACTTTATCCAATTATATACTAATTAGGTTCAAAAAAATTCATCTCGTAATTTACACCTAAGGTCAAGACTTCAGTCAACTTCGTCCAAAACCCAAAGGTTCAAGACTTCAGTCAACTTCGTCCAAAACCCAAACCCTCTCTGTGTCTCTAACCCGCACCGTCGCGCACGGCTCATATAAATGCCTGGAGCCGCCTGTGCGTTGGACTCAAACCGAACCTCGCCGCCGCCGCCTCCTCCGTCTCTCTTTCATCTCCTTCCTCGTGCAATCCCACCTCGCCCTCTAAACCCGCACCCGCAGCAGCGCCGCTAGGGTTTGCTCAGGCCCCGAACCCCACCTTCTGATTACTGCGAATCCGAGGTAATCCGCCTTTTCCCCGCGCCCTCTTCCAAGGCTCGAGCTAGGGTTTCTGCGTGTTGGCTCAGATTCCGTTGTTTCGATCTCAGGCGGCGGTTGCGCGGAAGTTTGCGGCATGGCGGGGTACCCGGAGGACAACCAGCACGCGTTGAACGGGTACGACGAGGAGGAGGTCGACGAGGAGGAGGGGCACCCCGGGAGGCGGGGAGGCCGGGATGGGGCCTCTGGGTACGGCGATGCTGGCGGAGAGGATGGGCGGGGGGCGGGCGGCGACTCGTCGGGGTGAGCGATCTGGGCCCTAGGGCTTCTGAATATTAAGGATGTGAGCCAGGAGGAGAGCTAATACTTTTGCCTTTTGCAGGAAGATTTTTGTCGGAGGCGTTGCTTGGGAGACAACTGAAGGTAAAATTTATATGTTATTTACTGGATTGGGTGCGCCTGGAATTTGATTCGTCTAGTTCGGTTCTTTAGATGTTTTGAATGCTAAAATAAAGGTGCTCCCGGAGTTCGATTTGTCTAGTTTGGTTCTATAGATGTTTTGAATGCTAAAATAAAAATGTGGAAACACGAACTATCTGCGCAGCAGGTTGTCATAAAGGGTTGATATGGCTTTTGTTGTTGCGGAAAGTAGTGTTTCTGTTATCATGTTTCCGTTACATGTCCGACAGGTTACTACGCTGAGGCTGTTTTCCTTGTTTGCCTGTGTTTTTTTTTTGCTATAATGGCTTAATGTTATTACCTTGATTTCTTCTGCTGGGTTTCAACTCTAGCCTACCCCAACTTGTTTGGGACTTAAAGGCTTTGTTGTTGTTGTTGTTGTTGTAATGGCTTAATGTTATTCATGTGAAAATGTGGAAACACAAACTATCTGCGCAGCAGGTTGTCATAAAGGGTTGATATGGCTTTTGTTGTTGCGGAAAGTAGTGTTTCTGTTAGCATGCTTCCGTTACATGTCCGACAGGTTACAACGCTGAGGCTGTTTTCCTTGTTTGCCTGTGTTTTTTTTGCTATAATGGCTTAATGTTATTCATGTGTTTTCTTGCATATTTTTCTTGCCCGTGGCATTATTTGTTATTTGATTGGTTGACTTGCTGCCGTTATTGTCTCATGGATTCAACTATGTTCCCATGTTTTTAATCAAGTTTGTGAATTTTTGTAACTTCTAACTGGAATAGGACATATGAATGATATACCTGGGTGACTAGTCAAAAAAATTATGTGCATGATTGATGATGCACTTTATAGATACATGTTTCTTTGCATGTTCTGTGCTGCTGAGCATATTTTTGGTTCTTAGCCTTTAAACAATTTTTTTTCAATATATAAGTGGGATACAGTAAAAATTGTGAATTCCTGCATCATGCCCATATTTGCTTTTACTCATTGTACTGCATTTGTAGTTTGTATTGATTTATAACACACTTGGTATTTGAGTAAAGGATACACCAGTAAGGAAAGCTGTTACATCTTTTCCAACGCCTGTTACTCGGTTTTTGTTCTATTAATGAGTCGTTTGTCCCACAATGCATAGTAAATTGTAAAATTAATATTTCTGTTATGTATGTAGTTAAGTGCATAATGCTTAGATATGTTGCCTGAATTAACTAATCTAAGATACAAGTACTGACAAGTAATGAGATAGCTTGCACATAATCATGAGCTCCTTTCAAATTCATATGTTCTCTTGCCCCAATACATACAACAGTATGGGTTATGCAAGAAATTCCATAGGTTTCTGCTTAATAAAAGAAGGGCTCGTCATCTGTGATGTAGTTTACCTTTAGATTTGCATTTGTTGATTGGTTTCTCGAATGATGTTTCTAGGTTTGCTCTTATGTGAAATATTTTTTTCGTCCATCTCCAACTTGGTTTGCTACTTTTTGTGATTCTGTTCTTTTTTCCAAATTGACAAATCTGTATGGTTTATTTGTTTGTATGTAGAATCATTCTCCAAGCATTTTGAGAAGTATGGGGCAATAACTGATTCTGTAATTATGAAGGACAAGCATACTAAGATGCCTCGTGGATTTGGATTTGTTACATTTTCTGATCCATCTGTTATAGACAAGGTTTTGGAGGATGATCACGTTATAGATGGCAGAACGGTAGGACATCTAATTTAGATCGGCCGTAACAGGGACCTCGGTTTGCAGCTCTGCAAACCTCTGCAATTTAGTTGACATTTAGCTTCTCTCGACCCCTATCAACTTTGGTTTATGCAGGTTGAAGTCAAGAGGACAGTCCCGAGGGAAGAGATGACCACCAAAGACGGCCCTAAGACAAGAAAGATCTTCATCGGTGGGCTACCACCATCTCTTACTGAAGGTAGGTGTTTGCTATCAACAAAGAAATCTTGAACTCGATTTGTTTATGATACTGAGAAGGTACAAAATTTCAGATGAGTTGAAGGATCACTTTTCATCGTATGGTAAGGTGGTTGAACATCAGATAATGCTAGATCATAGCACTGGGCGTTCTAGAGGGTTTGGTTTTGTCACTTTTGAAAGTGAAGATTCTGTTGAAAGGGTCATATCAGAGGGGAGAATGCGTGATCTTGGTGGGAAGCAGGTTAGATTTTTAAATTCATTTTGTTGTAAACTTATGTTTCACTCAATAGTGAAGTAGAACAAAAAAACTAAATAGACTTAGAAATGTTCATAATTTCATATGCGGGTATTGAAATTATAGACTAGAATACGACTTAGGTCCTGATATGTGACCACTATTTTGGCTATAATAGGTGCTTCGACATCCCGAATAGAACCCTATAGCTCTTCTTTAGGGAAAAGGCATTGTTTTTCTTTCCCTTCTAAATTCACATTTATTGGTATTGCTCACACCTTGTGATCTTAACCTCCTTATTTTTGGTTATTTAATGTATGGTATTGCTCATTTTCTTGACGATTCATAGAGAATTGGAATTTGATCTAAGATGATTGTGCTGATTAACAGAGAAGAGTGTTTGCTGTTGTTTAATTTGAAATGGTTTTCCTGTTGTTTCAGTTAAATCTCTTAGTCATGTCAGTTAACTTTTTTATGGTTTATGTTCGCAGGTTGAAATAAAGAAGGCTGAACCAAAGAAACATGGATCTGATCACAGCAGTAATGGGAGATCAAGCCACGGAGGTGGAGGTTACCGCAATTCTTACCGTAGTGGTGGTGGAGCTGGTAGTGCCAGCAGTGGCAGCAGTGGGGGTGGCGGCGGTTATGGTTATGGTGGTGCTTATCGATCTGCTGCAGCGGGTTATGGATATGATGGTGGCGCAGGAGCAGGATATGGCTATGGTAGAGGGTATGGCTATGGAGGCAATGCTGGCTTTGGGTCTGGTTTTGGCGGTGGTTATGGTGGATCCATGTATGCAGGTGCATATGGCGCATATGGTGCCTACGGTGGTGGCCCCTATGGAGGGGGTGCCTATGGAGGCGGTGCATATGGAGGTGGCGCCTATGGTGGCGCCCCAGGTGGTTATGGCACTGGCGGATACGGCAGTTATGGCGGAGCAGGTGGAGCTGCTGGTGGTACTGGTGGTGGGAGTACAGGTGCTCGGGGTTCTAGCAGGTATCATCCATATGGAAAATAAGCGACGAGTTTAATCAATTTTTCTGGGTCTCAGGAGTTCCTCTGGTCTCCTAGAAGTTCAGTTTTCATGCCTTGTCCACCTAAACAGTTGCACTGGAACATAGTTTGATTGAACTCAAGTCACCGTCATAACAACTGTGTAATTGCAGCTGCTGAGCCTGCCCGCCTGCCTTTGTTTGCTGTACAAGCTACACATGAAACCTGTGTTGTATTCTTTAGTTTGCTATGCAGAGTTTAGAACCCTGAGAACAAGCATTTTATGGTAGGAACAGTACTTGGTGCAGTAGAACCTATATTCTGTGCTGTAACATTGCCGATGCAAGATTTAACTGTTGCCACATGTGGTGATTATAACTAGGAACCCGTTAAAGGATTTGGTTACATCTTATGACTGTTGATTTACTTTCTGCAAATGGAAATGAAAGAAAACTCAGGGATGCGACATGGACTTGTGACGTATAAGTGTTGAAATGGCTGCATTCGTACTTCAGTTTTGTGCATGAGAATTCTTATTCTATTGCAACTCGCAACAATTATTTGTTATGTTCTCTTTTTTTATCACCTGAGTATTATTCTCAGTTTCTTCTTTTTTTGTCATCAGAAAATGTTGTGTCCATGGTTTAGCCCTTAGCAGCCATGTTTCCGTCCCCTGGAACAGGAACGAAAACGGGTATCATTTCCCGAAACAGGAACGAAAACTTGGGTATCATTTTATAACGCGGGAATAGGAGCATTCGTGTTTTCGGAACGTAGATGTTCCCGGAACGTGGAACATGGATACGGGAATGTGGGTCATGTCCTGGCGATTGAGACTGCCACACAACATATTTGAGTGCCGATTTACCTTGTCGACTCTTGGCATTGCCATATATAGTTTTTCGAAAGGACGATAAAAGCTTTGGTGTGATTTTATATTAGAAAAAAAAAGATTGTTCCAATTTTTTATAGGAAAAAATGGGACCAAAAACTTGCCACACCGAGGACAACTAAACACGCTACTGCCTAATGGCCATTGGCACTGCCATGTCATTTAGTCCACGGCCTTTGTAAAAGCAACTCCAAGAGACTCTAAATCTTTCCTAATTACTATATAGAGATTTTGATAAAAATATTCTTCAACGGACCCTTTAATTAGTTATCCAAATATAGCCATCTTCCATTCTTGATTTTTTCGCTAGCCAAATATATAAAAATGAGAATGGCTCTCTAGAGTACAAACAAGATATAGAAAAACTGTTGAAGAGTAAAAAGATATATAAATTTTTTTTTATGCAAATGACTTTCCAAATGATGATTTAGAGGGCGAGCTTTAGAAAGACTCTTGGAGATGCTCTAACACCCCCTCGCCCAGATCAAATTCCAAGTGATTATTTCAACAACCTACTAGCGATGTGTTATCGACAACTATGGAAGTGACTCTCAATCTTGTATTAGGGGTTGCTGTTGTAGTTGGAGAACGGAAATATAGGACTCAGAAATGTAAAGAGAGCCCTAAATCCAAACTAGGGGTCTGATTTTAGGTAGGGTTTGAGTCTATCTAGCGAATAAATATGAGGTAGGGTTTGGTTAGGGGCAATAGAGTCATCGTCCCATAGGTAAATACTTGCTCTCGTCGATTTATAGATACACACATATATTAAAGGTTAGACTTTACAATCTTGACCATTAGTTTAATCAATAATTTTTAATTATTTTAGTACAAACTTGATATTATTGTTAAATTCATATAAGTTATTTAATAATAATAAATTTATAATCTAAATAAATAAATAATATAAGATAAAATAAATGAATGGTCATAAGTTAATTTAACAATAAACTCTGTCATATTAGACTATGGTTATATAAACTAGATCGGAGGGAGTATTCCCCTTCAAATTTAAGATAAACTCACCCCAAAAATTAGAGGAACCCCGACATGGCCTCGTCCCTTATCGACGACGTTCTTTTTCGTGTCCACGTGCGAGGGGTGATCGTGTCAGGTGGGGCTAGCGGGTGCTTGGTGCTTGCCTCAATGGGCGGCAGCCTCGAGGCCATAGAAAACTGGAATGGATCAATCACAATTTTTTCTCCATCCAAACCTAAAATATTTCAACCATTAGTTTTTTTTGAGTCACATTAGAAAAAGCAAACCTATATGCTTGATCTCAAATAATGCAAAAGCCCACTAAATCCTCAAAAAAGCCCAGCTAGAAAGCCCAATTCTCAATCTTTGCTAGGCACGCCTCGTCGCCTCCTACTTCAATCGAAAACTGAGTCCGCAGCCGCACATTCCTCAACGGCCGCTCCCAGTCCCAGCTCCGAAATACGAGTAAAAGTCGCCTTTTCCCGCCCATTCCCACCCCCGAGATCCCCCAAAATACGACCGCAAATTTTCCCCAATTTGGCTTCTCCGCTCATCCACCTTAGACGGCAATGGAGGCCGCCGCCGCCGACCTCGTCGCTGCCCTCTCGTCCCCGTCCTCCTACGCCGGCCTCCACTCTCGCTTCGCCGCCTACCTACATCCCTTCACCCCCTACCTGCCCAGCTCAAATCCTAACCCCAAGCCACCACCGAAGAGGGCGACGAAGCACAACAAGCAGCCGCCGCCTCCCGACGCGGCTACCCTCCGCCCCCTCGCGAAGCGATTCCTCACGTTTCTCGGCCGCGCGCTCCACCTCCTCCCGCCGCTCGTCCGGGCGAGTCCTGGCTCGGGCGACAAGGGCGGCGAGGCCGCCGACGAACTGCTTGAGATCTACGGCCTCCTCTTGGACTGCCTAGAGGCCATATCACCCTGCCTCGCGGGGAAGCCCTACTCCGTGTTGCTCCATCGCGGCCGCTTCGTCTGCTGTCTCGAGTCGTGCGGCCACCTCGCACGCGCCAATGCGGAGGCTGCCGCTACCCTCGACGCCCTCCGCTCCGCGCTCTCTCCACCCACCACGAGCACCAAGTCGCGACGTGGTGCTGCAAGCGTTGATTCCGTCCTCCTTCCGGACCCTGGCAGCGCTGGGGAGGCTGGCACGGATCCTGAAGTCACCGTCCTTGCGGTCGAGCTCACTGCGTGCCTTGCCAATTGTTCCAGCAAGGGCAAGGTGAAGGAACCTGCCCCTTACGAACGACTTCTCAGCCTTTTCAAACAGCTGAAACCATGGCTTCGGTGAGATTACCAATTTTGTTTTAGGATTCATCAAATAAGAGAGATACTGAGTGGGCTTATCAGGAATTTATGTTTGTGTGCAGTATTCTGACTAATGAAGTCAGGAGGAAGTATCTCCCGCTGCTTGTGAATGGCATGAGCTGGTGCACCTTTTTTCTGGTTTCCGAGTCTTCATTTTTCAGTAGTGATCTAGTTCATGGATTCTGTCATCACACAATGCAAGGATGTGTGAAAGAGGGCATGATCGAGCATTTGCCAGCAGTATGTGTCATTATGAAATTGATTGCCTTATCGATGTTCTGCAAATTGGAGCCTTAGATTGTTCGGTTAATTTTGATACTGTTTTTCCCTGGCTGCAGATTGCTCGCAAGATTTGCTATTCTGTAGATTTGAGTTGGGGAGGGAGCACACAGCTTTTGCTCCACGTGCTAGAAACTGTTAGTGATTCTGTTGTACGTGTAAAGGTAATCTCATTCTTCTACTCATGCTACTGGAAGTCTGTTGTAATTTCTCTACTGTGCACCTTTCAATTGTTATGAGTAGCACTGTTATTCATTACAGGGGCTCTAGGGCTGAATACATACACATAAAGGTCTATGCAAATATACAAAAACCTCCTCCTTATACACTAGCAAATACTAGACATGAAGATATAATCGGTCATTAATCAGGAGTAATATAGATCGGCTTTTGCACATGCGGGACAAATGATATTTTTTTGCTCATAACATTATGAATTTTGTGTAGGGTATGTATTTGTATGGACACTTAAAACATCTACAAATGCACCCAGTGAAAAATGTTGAATTTCACCAAACTTCAGAAGCATGTTACATCGTGGCATCATGCTAAATTTAACAGTTACAGTGATTAATGACAAACACTAAAAGGATATGCAATGAATTGCCAAACTTAAAAACAAAAATGATACATTGCTTGTGCAAAACTAGATGTGTAGGTCATTAGTTTCAAATTTTTGAATATAAGTATGTTTCTGTAGTTTTGGAGATGTGCGAGTGGAGAGATGTGCAGATGTTGTGGAATGCTCTGAAATTTTAGTTGAGCTTCTGCATAGATGCAACTTGTAAACAATCTTAAGGAGCCCTGTTTTTCACCATCTTGTATACATTGGATTAGACTCCTCTGTATAGTTGTAGGATTACTTTGTTCCAACTATACCATATTATATAGTACCACGATCTTAGTGTTAGAATTCAGTACTTAATCAGTTATTTTTATAGTGTTGAGATTTAATTTGGCCTTCATGTACTATAGGGGTGTTGTTTAAGTAATCTTGATTTCCTTCTTTGTCTTGTTATATTTTACGATTCCGAATTTCTGATGAGATAGGTCATTGTGTACAGATATAATGTAACTGAGTAATATGGTGTAGATTTCTGATGTGCTTATGCATCCCATTTATTAGTTGTATTGAGCTCACCACCTACTTAATGTTCTCTGCTCTTGATCCTATCACAGTAATAAGTTCATCAAGATATAAATAACGGCTAATGGGTCTTTTATCATCAAGACATTATTACCTGTTGTATGTATTGTAAACCATTTTAAGGATGATTTACCGAAATCTGTAAATGAGCTTCTGGTATTTGTGGCGTATTTTTGTCGGTTCATTCTTTCTACCAAAAGTGATTTATCTGTTGGCGCTTTAGAGCTACTTTATAAACAAGGTGGTCATTTCTCTGAGGTAAATTGCTGTATTATTTTCTTTTAAGCACTGAATTTCCATTAAGCATACCATGTTGGTGCACATTTGTTTTGATTTGTGTAAATTCATGTGATGTATAGGTTTCCTCTCCTACTGCCTCAGTGCTTCTTCTTTATGTGACTGGGTTATACTTGAGTGCCCAGCAAGCAGAAAGTGAAATACCACCCTATTTATCTGTGGGTATTCCCAAGGATCAAAAGTACCTACATGCTTTAGAGAAAGGTCTTGGCACATTAGCACGATGGCCACATGATAATACATCTTTGGTCACATACTTGGACTCTTTGGAGTTTATTAGCAAGGTATTATTACAGCAAGTGGATACACTTTGGAAGAACTTCTCTGAAGGAAAACCAACCCATTGTTCTGGTAACATGGACTATGTCTTGACAGCACTGCATCAGTTCATTGATTCCAGCTTCGCGTCTTTTAGGTAGGTCCATAAGATAAGGTATTGGCACTGTAATTAGTGAAATGCGAGAACCTTATTGATGCATGCTTACTGTAGAAATTATGGCTTATGAACAGACAATGGTTCTTGATTTCACAAGGTGTTTTGTCATTTGTGCTGTAACAACTGTACACAAATGTCTCAAGGAGACAACGAGAGACGGCATGAAAAACATGGAACCTTACTGACAGTCCTTGTTTCCGCGATCAAGTTTTCCTTTGTTACCAAGAAAGATATTCAGGTAATCTAGTGTGTTTCCTATGTTTATGTTAGACTGCTACATTGCCATTGCGCCTAGTGCAATTACAAAATCCCTGGTTATATCATGCTATTAACATTTATGCCGAGAATTATTATTTTGTTAAGATATATTGATCAGTAAGCCTGCTTGGTTATATCCAGATGCGTTGTTGAAAATGGGCGTTGAGTTGCTTGCTGTTGCTTTGTATCACCATCCTTATTGTCCATTAACACCTTTTGCTTGCATACTCCAGAAGAGCTTGGGTTTCATTGTCTGTGCTATTTCAAGTAAATGGTTAACGCCTGAGGAGCTCAAATTCTTGATACCTTCACTTGGCAACATCGGAGTGACACTTCATAATACTGGACATGTTAAAGAGGTATTCCTTCTAAGTTCTAAGTTTCTTTTTCTTCTTTTTGTTGGGCCAACCCCTTCTGAGCTACCATTGAAGTGAATATTGTTGTCTCTGCTTCAGGCACCAAAGGCTTTAGAACTGTGCTGCCAAACAATATGGGCACACATCAGGCTTTCTTACTGTAGACTATCCTCGAGGACAAATGGAAACAACATTATGATGGATTTGCCGATGGATACACTGAAGGATATGGATATAATTTTGGACGCATTTTCAAGGATTGCAAAGATGGTTGATGCTCTATGTAGATGTGGCACAGAAATAGAAACAACACTTGGGATTGTTGCGAAGAGCTTGTCTAAATTGTTGTCTGATAGCGACAATTCTGAATATTTCAGAGGTTCTTTTATACTAATCAAGGCGTGGGTTAAGGTACTGACTAAAAATAATTCTGCCTTTTTTAACACTTATTATGTTTGTGTAACTATGTTCTGTTTCTTAAATTATAGGCTGTACACAAAGATTTTGGGGATAATAAGGTGGATGATGCTCCACTTCTCTATCCCTCTCTTTTGAAATATCGGTCTTCATGGCCAATTAAGCTGATAGGCTTAATAGTAGATCAGGTACCATATTTTATTTTGTTTGGTTAAATTTGGTGTAGCTGTAGTTTTCTGTTGTTGGGGCTAACTACTCTTGGAAAACATTGCATTCTGCAGGAATTGTTAGCATATGGATTAACTGAAGCCCGAAGCACAGAATTCTGCTCTAAAATGCAGATAAGGATCATAGATGTTCTGCTGCATAAAATTTACTGTTCGAAAGAACATTTTTTGGAGAGATCAAGGGTTTTTATTAGAAAGGCAGGTGCGCTTCGTGCATCTGGAGTGGAAAACATAAAAAGCTGCCTTGAGTCTTTACATGAGGCCATATCTTTACTGGTGAGTTTGGATCCCATATTGCCTTTCCCTTATCTACAAAGAAAGGGAGATATAGATTAATGTTTGTTCATCTAACCAGCAAAAGATCTCACAGGATTCATCTCGTGCCAACACTATTGCGAACAATCAGTTGGCCATTGCATACTGCTTGTATGCACATTGCGCTCAGGAAGACAAACTTGATGGGGAGGTAACTGCTTCAAATCCTAGCCATTTTAGTGTTCATATAAGCAATACCAGCACTCTCATGTCTATGTTTAGTGTAACATGGTTATGCTTTATCTAATTATGTTTAGTGTCATTATTGTTATTTTGCATAGGTAATATTTGATACTGCTGAGAAAGCACTTAACTTATGGTTGGAGGTGGAGACTTTTGATCATTCTTCTTCTGATATGGTCTTGCAACAGCCATAAAAAACTATTGTACCACTTATTTGTTTCCTGGTTGATTTGTTATCTATGAAGGTAGGGCCATGATATTTCTTTAGTTTATTAAGTTGAATGAGAAATTGCTTTCCTTTAGCAACATAATCATGTGTATTTATTCTGCCATCGTAGGGCTGTTTTGAGCTTCAGTTTAAGTTGTGCAAGGTTATGATAATGATATGGAAGCAAGAAAAATTACCCCTTGAAAAGCTCTTGTCCTTGCTGTTCACCAGTGGGCGCCTTAGTCATGCATGCTGTTATCTTCCACTGGATGAGTGATTTCTTTCTATTGCCACAGAGCATCTTGGTGTACGTTGCCACGATATTAAATTTTGGATAAACTGTTTCAAAGGAGACCATCCTTCTCTCTGTATGTTTCTTCAGAGGATGCTGCCAAGTGCCTTATTTATTCCTCAATCATGTAAGCATCCCTTTGGAAGGCAGTTCAGTTTTGAAACAAGTGTTGATGAAGTCAGCAAAGTTGCCTCATCTCTGGTATCTGAAGTAAGTTCTGTTGGTTGCATTACATCAAATTTGTTAACCATGATCTCTTATTCTCTCTCAATTATTGTATTCTATTTTGCAGGTTACATCAAATGACCAATCAACCTTTCTAGCTGGCTGTTTATACTATGACTTATCAGAAAGAGTTTTTTTTCACGTGGATAACTTCGTTGTTTAATTTCTGCAAAACATTGGTGCAAAATCTTCAGTGGACATGAACTATCTCTAGATTTTGTAGTTTTTTATGTAAATAAACACATCTAATGTTTGTTCTTACAGGCCTTTTCATATGGAAAAGAAGCCCTCCATTTGCGCAAAAAGCTCCTAAAAAAGAAGTTCAAACTCAATTCGGGCATATCTGGATATATGGAAAGACAACACTGTGGGCAGGACATTTCTCTTGAAGTGTGTGGCCCAACAGTAGTTGAGATTTGGCCAAATTCCATCAGATCAATCGACATGAGGGATTCTTTCCTTACTCCATGGAATGTCCTTAGGTGCTATCTTGAGAGCACTTTACAGGTATTGTGATAGTCTAGCATAACACAAACAAAGATTATAGAAGTATATGCTACTGGAACCAATTGAATGGGGGCTGGAGTTGTATATTACATTATTACCACAGCCACGGGTAGTAATGATTTCCTTATGCATGAATTCTCACTGCATTATGTTGGCAGGTTGCTATGATGCACGAATTGATTGGCAATGGTGCTGAAGCAGAAGCTCTCTTATGGACAGGAAAAGAGATATCAAATTTCCATGGTTTATCAGTTTTCTGTATTGTCTTTGCATCATCTCTAGGTATATATAATTCTATTTCCATGGTTTATCAGTTTTTTTGTATTGTTTTTCATCATTGCTAGGTATACATAATTCTTTAATTGTGTTTCTATTCTATTGACGTGCCTGAACCCGACTAGGGGCTCATGTTAGGTTTCAACTCTAGCCTACCCCAACTTGCTTGTCTGTCCCTTCTGTCTCACATTCCTTGGTTTTTGTTCAGGTCAACTATACTGTAAGCGGCAGCTATGGGATGAAGCGGAGAGTGAGCTTAATTATGCCCGAGATCTTGTGCAAATGATGCAACAATTTCATGTAAGCTCTGCAGTCTGACTTTGGGGATATCAGTTGACATGCAAGTTGGTGATCTGTCTTGGAGTCTATTTGGAAAAAAAAATCCAGAAACAGATGACAGCTGATTTGTCTAATGCTTTAGGCATGTACCAATCTGCAATAGACAAATTGAATAGCACTGACTTGGAATATTGTAACGGGTCCTTTGATAGACATAAAACCGGTTATCTTGTGTGCAGCAAAGACTGTATACCGAGCAAGTATGAAGCTTGTAATTTGGGGGAAGAACCCCTAACTTCAAAGGATGGATTGTTATCTCCATGTAGTGTTTGCACGGTAATACAAGTTCAAAGGAAAAACTCAGGGAATGCTGAAGCTGGTCCACGTCCACCGTTAGATGCTAAAGCTAGGAGGCCATCCAGAAATTCATCACGTTTAGCTAAGGGACAGAATGTAGACTCTTGCACAGACTAGAACTCGCTCTAGTAAGCGAAATGCATTTATGAGAAGTGAAAAGGTTTTACCTGAGCTAAATAGTAAAAATAACATATCTTGGACTGATGAATTGGCTGCAGATGCTTTAGTTTGCGGTGAAGCAGTGTGTTTTCCTGGTGGCATTGATCACAGCAAAGATGTCCTATGTAATATGTTTGGTTGCTGGAGCTGCCTTTTCATTAAATCCCTCAATTCGGGGTGCATTCAGAATATTTTGCAGCTGAGATTGGACTGTGTTCACCGGCACTACCTTGTGTCACTTCTATTAAAAAAAGGTACTTTCATCTTAGTTTATCTTTCTGTGTGCTTGAAGACGAGACATGCAATCATTGGCTTGACATTAGTTATAAATGATAAATGTTTGCATAATAATTGTCATATTTAATGATTAGGTGTACCTTGAGACATTATTGTTGTTGTTGTTATGTCGGATACTTGCATGTGATGCTGGTTAAGAAGTTTTATCAAATTCCTGTAATTGAGCTATCTGTTGGTTCAGCTACGTTTTTACCTTTTTCACAGCTAGAGCCTTGGGATCTCATAGCAATGGGGATCATGAAGTTCATAGTGTCTATTGGAAGTGCATATCACTGCTGTTCTTCAGGTCCCTTCCACAGGATTGCTATAGGACTTATGGGCCTTATTTAATTGGACTAATCATGGATAGGAGCATTGGTGTTTTTCTTCCTTTAGAGTGTGCAGAAATTCTATGCAGTATGAGCTTCTTCTTGCTAAAAAGCTCCCTTTATGAACAGCCAAGGTTTGTTTCATCAAGTTCCTGTTATGCAATGCAACATATGCATATATGATATTCTGGTTGTAGCAATTCATGATAATCGCTTAATTTTATTTTGTTTCATCGTACTTTTCAGAAGGGCGGGCCTGGTGCAAGCGGTAGAGTCTTACCGCCTGTGACCGGAAGGTCCCGGGTTCGAGTCGCGGTCTCCTCGCATTGCACAGGCGAGGGTAAGGCTTGCCACTAACACCCTTCCCCAGACCCCGCACAGAGCGGGAGCTCTCTGCACTGGGTACGCCTTTTTTTTTCATCGTACTTTTCTGCAGGGACATCTGCTGTATCTTCTCTAGTGTAAAAATGGCTGATGTTGTTCACTGGTTGCTCAAAGCTTTTGTTCTATCCAGAGAGAGCCCCTCACTTGTTCAGGAGGTTTGTTATGTCATGTTATCTTGTGCAATTGTACTGTGGACTACTTATAATGCTTAGTGGATATTACTTAGTCTATTTTTTATAACAGTAAGGCTACCGTTTTCTTTAATCATTAGATATATTCTTGCTATACTGCTTGTGGCTTCTGTCTTAAAATCCGAATTGCCCATTGCAGGTTTGCAAGTTACTTGTGCGCATATTCTTGCTATCAACTACAGATTCCTCAATTCAACTGCCTTTGGGTTCTCATAAAGATTCTCTTTCTTTGAATCACTGGGCGGCATACTTCCATCAAGTTTCTGTGGGAACTTATCTCAATTGTCATTACTTTTCTAGCTTACAAGCATTGTCCGAGGAAAAGGTTCCGGAGGTTTGTATCTTAGCAACTTAAGAGCTGGGTTAGAACAGTTCCGTATTCTGTATCTTTTATTCATATCTCCTCACATTTTCAGGGCACCTATGAAGATTTCAGAAATGAGACGGATGACGATGTTTTGAAATTTCTCAGGTTTAGAATTTTATGTAGCAACTGAAGTTGTGATCATATTGCATCTGCAAATGTGTAGTAAAATCTATATTTCTTTATCAGGTCGGGCCTGGTGCAAGCGGTAGAGTCTTACCGCCTGTGACCAGAAGGTCCCGGGTTCGAGTCGCGGTCTTCTCGCATTGCACAAGCGAGGGTAAGGCTTGCCACTGACACCCTTCCCCAGACCCCGCATAGAGCGGGAGCTCTCTGCACTGGGTACGCCCCTTTATCAGGTTGTCATCAAGGGACATAGAACATATTGAGAAACATATGACAGAATTCTTCCAAAAACTTCCTGACCTACCAATTCTGTGCATTAGTATGCTTGGAGGTGATTATGTTAATGCCCTTTTGAAATTCCTTTGCCATCCTCCGTTTTTTCCTGCTTGGATGTTGCTTTCAAGGTTTGATTCAACAAATGAACCTACTACGATGCTTCTTCCAGTGGATGCTATTTCAGGTGTGTGGATTACATATTGTGATTGCATTCAGCCATAACTAAATCTAATCTTGGATCTTTTTTACTTATTATTGGTTAACAGAAATGCAGTTTGAAGATTCCTGCATCAAAGATTTGGGCAATCCAACGAGAGTTTTAGATAAGAAGTGGCAGTGCCCTTGGGGCTATGGAATTACAGACTATGTGGCTCCAGTTTTCAGAAATATACTTGAGGAGAATTTTATGTCCCTCTCCAGTGCAACCCTTACTATTAATGATGTAAATGCAGATCGTGTCAGGTGGTGGTCGCATAGAATGAGGCTCAACAATTACCTTGCTAACACACTGAAGTAAGATTACTGATTACCTATGCATATCAAAGTTTAAATTGGTTTAGTTGGAATTTGGTGGTGTCAACACAAGATAATGTTTCTTTTCCTGATATCATTTTCATTCTTTCGAACAGAAACATTGAAGATTCTTGGTTTGGACCCTGGAAATGCCTTCTGTTGGGCCATCGATTATCTGATGAATACATTGAGTCTGCCTCATCAAGTATTATCACTGATCTGGATAAAAAATTCAAATTTGAAGTCAATCCAGTGCTCATCAAGGCTATCCTTGGTGGTTCTGTGTCAGTGGATGAAGTACAAGAATGTTTTCTCCAACTCATTTTGTATAAAGGTTACTTTGGAAGGGGAGGGTGCTGTGGGAAAGATAGACTTAGAGCTTTCTCTTCCTGCCAAATGGATGACAGAGCTATGGAGACACTCAGACGTTTAATTCCACATGCAGTATATGAGTTGCCTCAGCCAGCTGATAGAGATCCAGTTATTTTAGTTCTTGATGTCAATGTTCAGGTGAGCAACAAAATAGCTTGTTAGTTACATGTTCTTGATACTTTTCATCTGCATTATAAGTTTAGAACTCTGGATGGAATTGTTATTTGACAGCATATTTTGCTGGTAAAGTGGTAAGGGTGAATATCATGAATGCTGTTATATATTATTTGTCGCTAGCCTCACTTTGTCCATTTCAGTTTCCTTTGGTGCTATCCGGTAGATAACTAGACAGTAGACGCTGTGAGGTGGTCTATTTGGATGTCTACATTTTGCACTGTAAATGTCCCAGTCAAATTGGCACCTTAGATTTCCCAGTCAAATTAGCACCTAGTGCTGCTAGGCAATTGCTAACTTATTGCTTTGCACTCTGGGATTTACTGCGCTGTTTATTTAGCACTGTTATGTCAGTAACATCCTTGAATGAAGCATAGTATAGCCTTACTACATCTCCAGTGACCTCACCTGCTTCAATTATTAACTGCAGATGCTTCCTTGGGAGAACCTGCCTGTACTAAGGAATCAAGAAATTTATCGCATGCCATCAATGGGTAGCATCTTTTTAGTATTATCTTGAATCAATAATGATTACAAAGATGGCAGTTCCGAAGTTCCTCCTTTTCCTGTTATCGATCCTTTCAATACATATTATCTGTTGAATCCTAGCGGTGACCTGAGCAGCACACAAGAAGAATTTGTTCAGTTATTCAGAAACTAAGAGTGGAAGGTAAACACATGGCTTGTCAAAACTTAATTGGTAATCATATTAGAAAATTGGCTTCGTTCTCCAAACTAATTATCTCTCTTGTCAAAATTTCCTTTACTGGATGCTCAGATGAGAGTTTGAAATGCAGAAGTTTTGTTCAAAATAAAAGTTTGAAATGTAATATAAGTTTCTTATAAAGTAAATATGTGTATGGTGTATAGAAGTGGTTAGTAGTACATCTCGAAAAAAAGAAGTGGTTAGTAGTAACTTTTGTTAAGAATATGTTTACTCATAGTTTTAGGTGTCATTTCCACGTCACTGTATCATCAGTTCAACATCAATCAGAAGTGAATTTAATCATAGGAACTGTATCAGTGTATCCTACGAAATTTATTGCATGTCATTGTTAAGCTAATTATAGCCTTAATTGGAGGAATGATTCTGCACTCTACGTACAGAAAGTACATATTTGTATACTGATTCTTTCCATAGCTGTATATGCTGCTTGTACCTATATGTACCACTAGAATCAATGAAGAATGCATTGGGTTTTCTCTCCAATCCTTTTGCCTTAAAGTGAGGTCATGAGGATAGTGATCCAAATCATTGCATGGGGATAAGTAATTTTTGGTGCCATTGGAAACCACCCACGCTAATAAAATGCCAATTAAAAGATGTAAAAGGAAAATACCAATTACCAATGACAACATAGTAATAAGCTTTAATGTGTTTTCCTTGTCCTTGTCAAGGATCCATTTTCCTTTTCATTTGCATGTTAGAAGGTAAATTTACATTATGCTATCATAACTACAAACAATGTAATGATGTTGTGCAGGGATTGGCTGGAAATTCTCCAAAGGCTGGCGAGCTGGTCTTGGCCTTGAAAAATCATGACCTTTTCCTGTACTTTGGGCATGGAAGTGGTATGTTTAAATTTTGTTGGGCATTTTCCTTGGTAATTGTTCCTAGTTGTTTGAAGTTTCATTCCCTTATTAGTTGTAAGTGTAGCTGATGGTTTATCTTAGTTGTTTAGAATTGATGTATAACCCTCCCTTTTGGCAGTTTGATGCATCACAACTAACTTTTTTAACTGTGTGATAGTGCAGGCTACATCACTAATCTACTAGCACCAGCATAGCCCTAGGTGAAGTTCTTTTTAGGTTAAATGCCCTGAGCCCAGTTTTTTTTTTTTTTTAAAATCTTCCATCATCATGGACTAAACTTGATAAGGATTGAGATTGACTTAGGTAGATGGGATAGCAAGAAGAAACTGCTAGGTGCCATCCCTCTGGAGGTTCTGATTGCTTTTAGGTTTCTTCTTCCTTAATCCTAGAGCTTGCCATATGCCTTTCTTTTATAGGCTGGCTCCTAAAAACATAACTAACAGATTCAACTATATGATCTTATCTGACCAATCAATACTAATCTAATCTTCACATGTTTCCTTGCCTGGCATATCTAATCTGTTGCATTGATGTGCGGCTGTTGCTTTGCCTTGAGCTGCTGAACCCATGGCCCCAGGCCCCGTCCATAACAAAACTAGACTCTTTAGATTGCGGCTTTGGGCTATATGACATGCTGGCTGCAACTAGCATACTGGCAGACATAACTGGGAACAATCTTCTATTCTGCTTGTGCTAGAGTCAAGAACTTCTTTTGAAGTGTCTAATGTCATTGAGGAACAGTCTTTTATGCAACTATTGATGAATATGGACCAGCACAAGTGATTCCTATGGCCTTGTTTGGGTTGGATTGAGGTGGAAAATTAACTAATTTCCACCACAATTCACTACAACACACATGGATTGAGATGGATACGAGTGCATCCAAGCCCTAAGTGTGTATTGTTCATATACTCCTTATGCAATGCACGATGACAACAATGGCTGGTTGAATCAACATAACGACTCTGTGATCTAACTAACCTGTAAATTGCTGCAGGAACTCAGTATATTTCTAGTAAGGAAATCGAGAAGATAGATAACTGTGCAGCTGCTCTTCTTATGGGATGTAGCAGTGGAACACTTCAATGCAAAGGGAGTTATGCTCCTCGAGGGGCTCCGTTATCATATTTATTTGCTGGTTCCCCTGCTATCGCTGCGAATCTCTGGGATGTTTCAGATAAGGATATTGATCGGTTTAGTAAAACTTTGCTCAATTCGTGGTTGCATGACAATTCTCTAGATGGCAACAATTGTTCAAAATGTTGCCAGCCAACAAAGGAATTTGAGTCCATGAGTATAGCTTCCGAGGAAAAAGGTAGAGCAAGACGACAAGGCACACAAGGAAAGAAGCAACAACAAATAAATGATAGTACCAAGTGCTGCAGCTGCAGGCAGACGCGAATAGTTTCATATCTAAGTGACGCTAGGCGGGCTTGCAGGCTTCCACTTCTGATAGGTGCATCTCCTGTGTGTTATGGTGTGCCTACAGTCATTAGGAAGAAAGTAATGACGGATTCTGCCATGAGATGAGAGAAAAAAGATTCCATCTTGTATGCGGAAAATGATTTTGTCCTTTGTTTTTGTACTTAAAAAATTCGACCCACGGAGAAAATACCACCCTATGGGATTGGCCCTGTTTGTTTGGAATAATTTGGATAAATCTGAAGAAATTTGTGAGAGCGTGAACAGTAAATTTCATCCATAGTGAATTTCGGTTGTGTTTTACACCAGCCGAACGGCGCCATTGTATTAATAAACCTCACGCGTGCAGTTAGAGAAACACCCTGGACCGCAGCTAGTCCATGGGCAATGATTGACCTAGGCTGCTACTTAGCCCTGAGAAGGTAGGTCGTTCATTTTGTTATTTTTGTTTTAACCCAAAGAAGAAATAGCTAACGGTACTACTTCCTCTGTCCCAATTTAACTGCGCCTCTGTAGTTCAAAATTTGTGTTGAAACAAACGATACACGTAGACCTGAACGTGGCAGAGGCAGTGCAGCTTTAGTCGGAATCTTTTTTTAAACGAACTGCTAGGAGAGCTGTCCACTGTATTAAAAAGAAGTGATTGTTTAGATAGGCACGGTACAACCTCACATAAATTGGTACTGTACACCCACGACAATAATGCTAGGGTGAAAGGGGTTGAGAGGGTACATGGGAGTAGTGGCCTGACTTGTGATGTGAGGAGGTTGGGAGGGAGATCGATTGACTGTTTTTTGGCCATGGTAGGTTAGAATCAACAAAATACTAGAGAATATTTCACTACACATTTAGAGTTAAATGCCCTAGTGATCGTCAAACTTGTGTCACTTAGGTTTACGAACTTTGAAAATGTATTTTTATGTCCTTAAACTTGAAAGGCGTGTAGCTTAGCTGCAGCTATCAATGATCAATGTACGTACGTACGTATGTGTCCACGAATAAGCAAGGTCACTATGGATTTGCCCCGGTAAAAACATGGGTCAATACAAAATATTTTGATATTAAATGAAACGAATTGCATATCATAAAAGTAGGTTTCAATGAATATAGTGATTTTAGTGTTGTCGTACTGTCAATCTATTCTACTTATATTTGTCAGGGAGTACGTACGACCTCTCATACGGACGAGAATAAATGCTAGTTAATGACGCGACCCGTGTGAAGAAGCGTCAAATGGTAGCCGGCCGTTCGACGGCGACTGTCACAGATCAACGAGACAATGGAGTACTAGATAAGTTTCGGTTGGCTGGTTCATATCGTTGCTGATTTATGAAGAAGTATTATTAGTTGGTTTATGTGAGAGAAAAATACTATTCCGGCTAAAAATTTACGATCGTTTACGACAAGCCACATCCAAATGAACAGGCTGCTAATTCATTCTACAATATCCATTGTTTAATCCAACCATGTATGTTCTGGATCATGACAGAAATTACTGTATTAAGCCACCTGAAATACCTATTACTCTACTACTCCCTTCATCTCAAATTATAAAACGTTTGATTTTTTTTTACTTTAAGTTTGACTACTCGTCTTATTCAAAAAATTTGTGCAAACATAGTCAAATTTAAGTCATTCTTGAAAAACTTTTATTAATAAACCAAGCCACAACAAAAGAAGTGATATTTTGTACAAATTTTTGAATAAGATAAGTGATCAAATTTAGTGTCAAAAAAAGTCAAACGTCTTGTAATTTGGAATGGATCAAGTAGTTCGTTCTTTTTATTCCCCTAAAAGAAGAAGAAAAAACTCTTTGCAGAGCTACTAAGTCATATATAAGCGATGTGATCCAGCGAACAATCAAGATTCAAGAAGCAACACCTACGTTTGCTAGCTCATGATACAATCCCCAGCAGCATTGAGAAAATTAACCAGCGAAGGTACCTAGTACTGTATTGCTCTCACTCGCAGCCTCGAGCACCTCATAAACAAAAGCATGCGCGTTTTTCTTCGACGGCGAGGGCGGTGGATACCTCGCAGCTCGGTCGTCGTCGACGTCGGATCGGAGGACGGAGGACCGCACAGACCCAGGCGACCTCGTTTTCTTACCAAAGACAGGGTTGGGCGGCTGGCACCTTGTCGATGCGACGCAGCTGAGGCTGAGCGCGAAGCAGGAAATTACGGCACTGAGCCACGCCCAGGGTCGCCGGAGTTGATGAAACGCTTTGGCGGCTGCGATTGAATTGGCACTACTGGACGAAGCATTAGCATGGATGGGCATATTTCATTTCTAAGAGGGAGTCAACTTGATCGTCTCTAGTAAATGGTATGCTAATTAGCCATTTTCAGATTTTTAGATGATAGGGATGTCTCTGTTAATAGATAAGATAGTCATCTCCCTTAATAGTAACAAGAGGAGACTTGCTAGCGTCCGGACGTCCAATCCGGAAGGCTGTGCCGGACGGTGCCCGCGCAGCAAGCGAGCGAGCGCCCTAGCAGCATCGGGCTTGCGAATGAGCGCCCTAGCAGCGGGCCCGCATCGGCCCGGACGTCGCCCGTGACGCAAGACCGCGCGCGGGGACCGTGCGCGCCACCTCCTCTTTCCCGCGCACATCCCATGTGCAATACCGTGATTTACTTTTAAAACATTCAGATATAGCACTTACAACATAAAAAAGACAAATAAAACACTCGAAACATGCGTCTGAAACAGTTACAAAAATACCTGAAAACACTTTGAAAACCATTACAAACATACACAACATCTAGATAAAAAATTTGCAACATATATGTGTGAAGCATATGCAACATCTAAATAAACACACTTGCAACATATGTAAAAAAACAGATGAAACATTAGGAACATACGCTTGCAACATATATGTACAACCATTGCAACATATGCAATATTTCGATTTACTTTTGCAACATCCGTATGAAACACTTAAAACATACATCCGAAACAACTAGAACACTTGAAACATAGGCTTGCAACATGCTTGAAAACACTCGAAATACTTGAAACTTAGCGTCGCTGGCGGGCACGGCCTACCTGGTGGGGAACTGCAGTGGCGCAGGCCTCCTCTTCCTGCCGACGGCGTGAGGTGGATGGGGGTGCAGGTGCATGTGCATGCCTCCCCATCCTGCCTACAGCGCGAGGTAGATATGTGGGTGCAAGCGCAGGCCTCCCCCTCCGTGACGGGCGAGGTGGATGGGGGCGTGACGCGGGCACGCGGAGCAGCGCAGGAAGGGACCAGATGTGGCACTGCCGCGCTGGAGAAGGCCGCGGTGGGCAGCCCCTGCGATATAGAAGGCGTGCAGCGCTGTTTTTTTAGAAGCACTGAAGCACGCGGAGCGGAGTGGGGAGAGTGGCGTCCAGGCAGCAGACGCCTTCTCCCCCGCATTACCATATTAAGAGAAGTGGTTTCTTTGTGAAGCGCGTATCTATTAATCGTTAATCGGCTATTCTCAGTTATAAAGGTTACAAAAAAATATTTATGATTGACAATTATTTATGTGTGTACATAAATGTACATGGGCAAAAATAATCTATGCATGTCAAAAAATAGGAAATTATGTAATCAATAACTAATTATCAAAAACATCTATGCTTTCTCTCTCTTCCTACTATTTATGTACACACTAGGTACCATAAATTTTTTATCTTTTTTAGATTCTCACATACACATCTACTCTTCCTCTCTTCTCCCACCATTTAGATCTAAATCTAGACCACCGTGAAGTAGTAAAAAGGCATAAAACAAGCCTAAGAGGACATCCTAACCTTTCACGGGCACCTCCTCCAAAAAAAAAAGATCAAAACCTCCTCAATGAAAAAATAGACTTTTTTCCGAAGATCTAGAATTGTTCACCATGCACAAGGACTTGTCCAAGTAGGTGAGCTCACGGATGTAGAAGAGAAGTGGGTGTGCTTCGTAGGTCAGTCTCAGTGAGGGTTTCATGTTTTAGTTTCTAACACACTCATATCTTATAATATTACAGAAGAGTTTCATTATTATCTCTCTACTCCCATGAAATTTTTATTATATCCCCTTTTACAAATGCAATGTCAAGTTAGTATATTTAATGCTCATAAAATCCATCGATATTGGCCTTATATAGGCCACTTATTAAATGGCTATGAAACAAAAGAAACAAGGCTGGCGTGAAACTAGTAGATTTTTGGGTACTAAGGTGCTAGATGTACTTCTCCATTTTTATTTCAACATCGTATTAGCTTTGTCTTAAATTAAACATTTATTTTTTATTTAGAAAATTGTAGAGATTCATAACATAAGATCTATGTTTTTAAACTTATTATAAGAAATACTTTCGTAATATGTACTCCCTCTGTTATCTTTTGTAGGGCGTGTGAAGAGATTTCACAGAGACCAAGGAAGTCTAGGGGAGATAGGCGTTAGTAAATAAAGTGCACTAATCTGCATGCATGCAGTAAATCATCCAGCGCCATACAAAACTTTTGATTGGACGCTACATGCAAAGTGGTGCTTGGTATCTAGAGGATGAGTAATTGCTGAAGCTTTTGATTGGATGCTGGTTGGACTCCACGAGCCCGGTACCCATTGGCGCCCTACAATAGATTAAAACTGAGAAATCTTCATACGCCCTGCAAAAGATAACGGAGGGAGTAAAAAACTAGATTCAAAGATCTTTTCAAGTATACTAATTATTTATCATAAATATTAATATTTTTAATATATATTTAATTAAAATTATTTCTCAAAAAACAAAAATGACAAATATTTAAGGACAGAGGATACTGTCTACGCACTACACCACAACACTAAGATAGCGATGGACGGTCTGACGCTAAAAGCGGCTACAACGACAAACAATCTGACGCTAAAAAGTTATAGCGTCAGACTTCTGCAGACGCTGTAAGTCCTGTCGCTAAAAATCTTTAGCGTCAGACAGTACTTTTAGCGTCAGACAGTCCGTTGGCCTGAATTTTTTTAACGACAGATAGTCCATTGCTAATTTTTAGCGACAGATGCCCTGTTACCTAGCATATACCGACAGACCATCCAATAGCCCATGTATTTACAACGACAGATGGTTCAACAGGACGCTATAAATATACAAAAAAATAAATACAATTAGAAAAAAACATTTAGCACATATCAAACCCACATTCAAGCTTAATGTCCATCACATAAAGATATAGAAAAACATACAACACATCATAGAGGTCAATACTTATATAACATACAACTTGTCTTGCACACCGTTTGAACCATCCAACAAAGTCAGGCACCAAAAGATTACATGAATGGCTTGCCAACACTCCATCAGGTTATGCGTGGAGAACCATTTTTTAGAAACTCTTGTGCCCAACACTTCCTGAAAAATATAATAACCATGTAATTAGGCAAGTGGAAACCAAAAGTAATGGCTTGCAAACAATTTATAGAATGTATGATTCTTTGTCCAAAGGTAATTCAATTTAGCATCCCACAAGCAAAACAAAGTACAGATACTAGGAGCTGAAATGACACTGTATATCAAAGCCGACAATCCCACAAGCAAAATTTTAATGATCTTAGTGGCTGATGCCACTTTCGGTTGCCATAGATATTTGCATGCATCTGTAATCTTGTTCTTGCTAAAATTTTAAAGAAACAAAGCTACCACGCACACAGTGATGCAGTCCATTTATTAAAGATAGCAGCACCAACTATCACTTCATATGAGATTCTAGAGTGAATATAAATTTTGAGATGCAGATCCACAGTCGACAGGAGACTTTTTCACAGAGCCACTAATATTTCACAGTGAAGCTTCATATATGCTCTAAAATAAAAGTCAGGGGCTATCATAAGCTAACAACCTAGAGCTGTTATGAGGAAAGCTTAAATTTTTCTCCAGACCATCTCATGAAAAAACAAGCTTAATTTTTTAACTAGCAAAAGAGACAGGCATCCAGCGTTGGAACAACAGGCCATATTGCAGAGCTCGGGCTTGCAGAGAAGAGGAAGAAATAAGATTCTTGCCTTATGAGCTCCGGCTTGCAGAAGATCAATGGTGGCCTCGTCCTTCATCTCACTCAGCTCCTGCATAAAAAATGAGAACTCAACTTGATACAAGTAAACCAATTACCAACACTTGATACAATACACAGGAGATGATTGGGGAAAGACACTTAACATGGTACAATACACAGGAGAGCAATGCACACGATGACTGAATGGCTAGCTATATTCAGTTACTACCATCACAGTAAAAGGAAAAAAATCCATGCTGATTCATTGAAGCCACAGAACAAAGAAAAGGCATGGTAGGCATGCGCTTGAGAAAAACAAAAGGTTCATTTGCACACTTAATGTATTTTTTACTGCAGTAAGTGTGCAGGTTACTTACTGCAGGTTACTTGAGAAAAAAACAAAAGGTTCACTTACTGCAGGTTACTTGGACACTTACTGTATTTTTTATAAGAGTCTGCACTTGAGAACTGTAATTTCCTACTAAGTACAAATGGCTAGGTAGGCATGCATGGTGACAGACTACGTATGATTCATTGCCTCCAACATGTACGGTATGCAACTCCTTGTGTGACAGGCTTTTAGTATCTACTAATCCTATCAAGCTGATAGCTGGGAGATATAGCTAGCCCCTGCAGAGTTTGGTCACAGGCTCAGCTAGGCCTTCAGTTTGGTCGCAGGCAAGCAGGGGCCGGAGCCCTCCGCCCCTGTTTCGAACCACTTAGGAGAAAAAACCTAGCGGTAATTTTCATTTTTCCTACTGCAGGTTTCTTATTTCAGCTACAGGTCATAGTTGTATCTATTCCATTATCTCTGACAGAATGTAGTAATTGCCTTCCAAATATCGCTTGACTGATAGCTGCAGCAGCTACTACGAATCAGCTTATATCTTAGTTACTAATGCACATATGCATAAAAATTTGACATTGTTTGGAGGCCCAACACTAAAGACAGTAATTTAGCATAAAAAATTTAAGATATCTAAGAAGTCAATTAAGCTTACCTTCACTGTTATTGGCTTACTACCTCCATTCGTTTCTAACTGCTATTTTAGGAACTGAGAAGTCTACATTTTATTAGGTGCTACAATTGTTTTATATGTGACCTACATCTTCATAAAACGTGCATACCTCAATGCATGCAACATCTATGCAACTCAATATCTTTGTTCATCAGCAACTAAGAATAAAAAAATGAAGGTTGAAGAGAGGCGATGTGAGGTAGCAACAGACTAAAAATGTAATAGGACATATGTGTCCAGTGACTGTTTCCCAATAACTGTGCAAAAGTCCAACACAAAAAAGAAAAAGACAGAGAATTACCGAGGAGCAGAAATGCGTTCATCCTTAGACCAAGTTTCCGAAACATGAACCTCTCTTCATCTGTTATTGTTTCAGGTCTGGAATCTTCAGTTGGCCTCAGGGCTGTCTCAACTTTTCCTAGTACCCTTTCAGCTTTCTCCATCTTTTTCTGTGCCTGTACATAAATAAAGTGAAATTGGTTTGATTCAAATCATATAACTTGCATCTTCCAGTGATACAATGCATACAAGAATTTAGCCACACAAGTTTAGATGCAACATGACCCTATATTACTTATGACAACAACAACAAAGCCTTTTAGTCCCAAGCCAGTTGGGGGCCTAGATTGAAAACCCAACAAGAGACACCAACAAGAAGAGAAAAGAACACGCCCTAAACTTGGTCACTTACAAGTGAGCTTCCACTCTGTGGACAAGAAATCCTTCCCTCTGTAGAAGACTATAAATTCTTTGTTCCTTGAAAGCATCACGCCACTTGTTAATTTCTGATGTGGATTGAAAAAAAAAACATTAGCTATGAATCATTAGTTCACTACAAGACCTACCTAAAAACTTGAACAAATGGATAAGTGAAAAGAAAAACAGCAGTAGCAGATTGTTCTCTATAACAGGGAGCCAAATGTAAACATTAACATTTTGGTTCGTAATCTATGTTCCACAGGACCACAACTCTCATCGATTTAATCTTTCATAGAAACTATGAATTTTTCATGCAAAATCAGCCAACATTTTTTATTGATCAAGAGCCCAAATCAGTACATAGGTAGCATTAATGCTCATTTAGTAAGACTAAGAAATAAAATACAAACTTCAAGCTGCAGAAAATGGATGAAAATGACAGTTGCAAAAGAAAACCTAGAAGGACTTCGAATCTGTATTGTGCTGTTGCTAGTGATCAATTAACATTTCTAACTAGGATACAAATATTTACATATGCTACCCAAATTGTACAAATCTAACAAGAGACACTTTCTTTGCTTACTTTAATATCTTCAGCCATCCTCTCACTGGTGGTAAGCTGTACTACTCTCTTCAAAGCAACTTTAGCAATAAAACTTTTCTCCCACAACTTTACCATAGCATTAGCTAAGCCTTGGAGTTGTCTGCTTCGTCCTAACATCCATTAGTAAGGGTGAAATTAATATAAGATAGTACAATGGATCGACAAGTTCATAGTTTAACTAAAGCATAAGTGCATAACAGAAGTTACCGAGAGCAAAGTGAGGAGGCAGTCCCCGGGCAAGACGGCGTAAATTGGTAGTATCCATTCGGCTAAGAGATGGCCGGACACCATATGGCAGAACTCTAAAAGGGGGCTTGTAACTTGGCACGGTTGCAGGAAGTAAATCTGCATCTACTGGTAACGGGTCGGATCCAGGCCAGTCAGTGTATCTTGGTCCAAGTTCATCCAACAGTTTGTCAATTTCATCTTCATACTTGATTTCTGGTGCTTGTACAACTATTTCCTCTTTCACAGCATTAGAAACTAAAGGTCCATTGCTATCTTGTCCACTGTTTGCTTTCTCAGTTGGTAGTGAGGAAGCATTAGGAGGCCCTTTAATTGGGGACTTCATAGCAAGAGACTGAATTCTTCTTTGACCCCTTAGTGGTTTCCGGTTCATCATAATCTACTCCCCTGTACAGAGAAACAGAAGTCCCTGATCTCCATATTACTAATCCTCCTGTTTTTCTCTAATCACCACCATTATAACACACAAAAAAAGGAAGAAAGTATATCAGATGACAAGCACATCAAATATTTGAACAGAGATGAGTTGAGAATCAATCAAAGCCACTATATTCAACTTAGACTTTTATTATTACTATTTTGCGCACAACTCAATTCACAATAGAATATTTTTGCGAACATTTCATAATGTTTCAAAAGCACAGTGTTTTTCAAAGATCTAATTGTACACCGAATATACTGTAGTAGTTGTATCCAGATATTCCATGATATTACCTGCACTTAATACGATTTTGCTAGTATCTTTTCTCAACTGAACTTAATAATAGAAACAGAATGTAGCACTCATTTTCAAGTCAATTCTACAATGGGAAAGAACCATAATAAGTGGAATGATAGAACTTGATAATTAACATCATAAACATCAATTGTATAGAGTTTTCAAGCACTAACAAGATGCAACTCATTGGTATCCTGTCCCTCGCTGAGAGTAACTGAGTTACGAGCTATGTGGTATTCTACTTCAACAACCTAACTCAGGGAAACTAATGAACAATTGGGTACAACTGCATAGTGACAAACACAGATTTCAACAGGGGGCAGTTTAGGCCTTGGGCTGATGGAGCTAACAGAGTAACAGATAGCATAGAGGAGTTCAGACAAATAGATAGGTAGAGTAGACTCATGATTCTAGTTCACTGCTTAACGTTTGTTGCAAATTATACAGACAATAGTAAATCAGTTCTGGATTTGTTTCAAGACACATTAACATGTTCTTCTCCTTCTTAGTGTGCAAAGGTGTACAATCCTATTGTGTACTATCAAAGAAATGCTAAAACCACACCACGGTAATTATAGACTGCCTAGGTAACAATGCAGGCTATGAGTATGCAAGTAGAACAAGTTGTCATATACTTTCAAGTATCTATCGGTACAATTTTCTATAGAGCAACCAATATACAAGCTAGGTTGATAAAAGGGTACAATTGTTGCAGAATCAGAATGAACCTCGAGTATTTTGTGGAAGAGGAGCATATTGAGCGCCGGCGTGCCGGAGACCTTGACCCTGACCACCTCCTCCGTCTTCCATTTCTCCTTAATCTTCTCCACGACCTCACGCGTGAGCCCGGCCCCGCCCACCTTGGTCTTGGACTTGATCCTGATAGCGGCGTGCCGCAGCCACCTGAGCTCCACAGCAGGGAGCGTCAGCTCTGCCATCCACGTCGGCGAGCGCGTGGCCCGCGCCGCTGCCGCTGCGAGATCACGGACCGGCGCCGCTGCCGCATCTCGTGGCTGCGCGCCTCCCGAGCCATGCCTCTGCTGCCTCCTTGGCCCTCGTGGAAACTGCAGCCGCCGCATCCCGGACCTCCGCCGGCTGCCGCTGCTCGGATCCGCGCCGCTGCAGCATCTCGGACCCGAGCCGCTGATGCATCTCGAGCCCACGCCTCCGCATCCCAAGCCCGCCACCGCTCAGCTCCCTCCCAGACCAAACAGAGGGGGCGGGCGAGCGGGAGCTTCGGGGCGCGGCGAGGCGAGCGAGCGGAAGGCTGGGATTCGGGAGGGAGGACAGCGGTGGGTAGGAGATTGCGAGCGGTAGATTGGGGACGGGGCGGGCTGGGATTTGGGAGGGAGCTGAGCGGTGGCCGGCACGGGATTTGGGGCCGGGTGGGCGCGATTTGGTGGGAGAGGGCGGTGGCGCGGGCAGGTCACCGCTCCAGGATTTGGGATTTGGGGGAACAGAAGCGTAACAACCCGGGTTTTTGGAGAAGCCAAAAATATGAACTTTTTAAAATTTTTTCTGCAACATGTAATTGCTAGGTCAAACACGAGTCCAACTCGCTAACAAGACATTGCATACATATAGATGGTTTGTAGGTGATTGCCGGCGTTTTCGAGTTGTACTGTGTTTGAGCCTCATTTTCATTGGAGAGCACAACCATAGCAACCTCCTTGAGATCCTCACGGGATTATCTCGAGCCTTCCGTGAATCTGTCTCTATAATCCCAAACTCCACTAGAACCCGGACTTGCCATTTATATTTGTGCCAACCATTCAAACTTAAATTGAAGAATCTATTTCCTTCTCTCTCTTCTCTCCCCTCACGCCTTGGCCTGGCCCAGCAACCCCCTCTCTTCCCCTCCTTACTGCATAGGCCCAGCAGGCTGCAGGAGCCCAACCGAACACCTCTCCCCTTGGCCCAACCGGCGTCAGCAGGCTCAGCCAGCCTACCCCGCCAGCCCACTCGCCACTCCTCCCTTTGGTCCGCCAGTGCCTTGGCCCAACCGGCGTAGCAGCCCGTGGCCTGCTTGGCCCAGCCTGGCCAGTAGCCGCAGCCGGCGCCCACTCCAACCCTAGGGCGCGCCCGCCGCGACCCCGCTTCCACGCCGCCGCCACTCGTTCGCTGCAACTTGCGTGCGCGCAACGCCAAGCTCCGCACCTTCGCTCAATGCGCGCCGTGTGGGCAGGGAGCACGGACCCCGAAGATCGCCGCCGTCCGTGACCCCTGGCTACCCTAGCCCACGAGCATAAGAAGCCCGAGCCGCCGCCATCCCCTTCTTCCTTCCCCAGCAGCCGGCACCCTCTCCTTTCCCCAGCCGCCACAAGCCTCTCCACTCCTCTGCCTCCTTCCCAGTTCCAGGAGAGCCATAGCCATGGCGCCCGGAGGCCAAGGCGATGCCGGCTACGGCACCTCCGTGGCGCCCCTACAGCACCGCCTCCACGACCACGCTGCCGACATCCCCACGGCGTCCGTCTTCCTCAAGCCGCGCCTCAACCGCAAGACTTCACCGCACCCACGGCCTCGCCAAGCCGCGTCGCACAGAGACCTCGCAGCCACGGATTCGCGTCAAGCCCCGGCGTCGACACCACATCGAGCCGCCATCCACCTCATCTCCATCACGGCCTTCACAAGCGGACGGTGAGCCTTCCCTGAGCCCAAGACCTCACCCTTTGACGCCTTTCAGTGACCATGCCTGACCGGCCTTTTCGCCGAGTTCTGAAACCTGCAGCGACACCGAGCCCTCGGAGACCGTGGCCGCTACGGAATGTCCTTGCGTCGGACCATCACCAACTTGGGCCTCGACCTCGCCCTGCACCCCGACCACGGCGGCGTCGCCCTAAACCACAGCCAAGAGCCACTGGCGCCACCTTCGTCCACCAAGCCCGGACAGCCACACCACGACGTCGCAGCCACGATCGGAAATGCCACCACCTTGACGCGATCTGCCCGCACCGAGCCCTTCCTACACCAGGCGGCCTACCTCCATCCTCTGATGACGGTGAGCCTCCCAAAGCCATGCTTTCGCTTTTCCTTGCACCGTAGTGGAGTTTGTGCCTAAGACTGGCCTTCGTGCCATGTTCCTTCACCTCGCAGGGAGCAGCAGGCCTTGAAGCACCCTTCACCGACTCCGTCACCCCTCTGGCCACCCGCTGCTCTGGCCTGACCAGCCGCAGCCGACCCTGGCCACCTGCAGCCAGCCGCGGCCACGACCAGCAAGCCACAGTTGGCCAGCAACTGGCTGTAGCGTGCCCGGACGCCATGACCAACCCCACGTTTTGTCTGATGTCTTGATGCCTGCCTGACCGGCCTTCGAGCCGCTGACCGTGTCTGCCCGTGCACCGCCGAAGCGTCACCGCGTTCCCATGACACCGCCTTGTTCCGACCCCCTAGAACCAGTAGAGTTAACACAAGGCCGGCCCTTGGACCAACGAACACATGCACGCACGCACACGGCCCAAGCGCGGCCTTGCCAAGCCACTAGTGCTCGAGAACGCCGACGCCGCCCAGACACGACCACCATGCTCGCCATGGCCAGATTCTGCCATGGATCAGCCACGTTCCGGCCCCCGAGGACCAGTAGAGCTAGCATAAGCCCATGCCTGCCTCGTCGGCATGACCGCTCGTGGAGCGCCGCCGTGCCGATAATGTTCCGCCGGACTTCGGCCACCTCGTGACCCAAAGGAAGGCTGTAGAGTTTTTCCCTGGATAGCCGCGTGTGCGAGCCAACGCCATAGCCACTGGAGCTAAGTCCGAGGACAACATCCATCATTCGACCAAGCCTTAGCCACGTCTTGGCCAGCCGCAGCCGCGTCTGGCCAACTATAACAAGCTGCAGCACGCCAGCAGCACACCACAGCCAACCACGGCGATGTCCAGCAGTAGAAGCCACACCTAGCCACCTATAGCAAGGCGTAGCCAACTATGGCCATGTCCAGCCAGCCATAGCCAGCCCTTGATAACCAACAGCAAGATGCAGCCAGCCGCAACTGGCTGTAGCTGGCCGCAGCCGGCCAAAGGTAGCCATTGCCAGCCTTGGCCAACCATAGCCACTTGTAGCCAGCCGCAGCCAGCCACAGCGAGCCGTAACAAGCCACAGCAGGCCATAGCTGGCCTTAGCTGGCCAGAAGAAGCCACAACCCTTCGGGACAACTTACAACAGCCTATGGCCTTCCACATCTTTGCCGCAAAGTCAAATCCTAGTCGAACGCCATTCCCGACACCGACAAAAGCCCCTTCCTACTCATTCTTATACTCGTTTGTACACTTACAATATGTGATCTTGATCTATTTATATCTGTCGACACTGTGCCGTCGATGTATTGAGTCTGTTCCCGACATTCCAGCAGCCTCATTAAACGAGGGCGAGCCGTTGAGAAACCGGGTGATCCCTAGCATCGTACCGATGACAAGTGGAGTCTTTTCGGCGTCTTGCTGACCGAGACCACCATTGCCGGGACCACCATTGCCGAGACCACCGTTGCCGAGACCATCGTTGCCGAGACCACGGTTGCCCAGACCACATGGCCTCGCTGGCTGAGACCACAGGGCCTCGCTGGCCGAGACCACATGGCCTCGCTTGCCGAGACCACCATGACCCTGCCTACTACGAGCCGTAACCTCTGGACCATGAACCCTAGTCGTATGTCTTATCGAGACCATGGAAAGCCCCATCTCGCATCTTTCCGTATACGCATATCTACCTTATCGGGCCCTATTCTTACGACCTATCTATCCATGACTGCCTTACAGGATCTATCCATCACCCAGTTATGGATGTGCTACTCTGCAGTCATGTCGAGTTGCTACGTCTTTTGGTCGTGTTTGGTTCTTATCGCTGGTTGTTGGTGTTGTTGCCTGTGTGCCGAGCCTTCGAGCCGGCTGAGGGATCGTACCTCGTCCGGACGTTACGATCGCGGGATCCGTCTCGCCATGACCGTGATGCCGAGGGTAACTCGACCCCTCGCCTTTTAGTTGACTTCATAGTACCACGAGTGTTAGCTCCTGCCTTCGGCCCTAGAACATGGTCGTGATGGATTCGATGTCGATACTAACATCGATGCGGATATCACCCGCACGCCTTGAGCCTTCTCTGACCAAGTTCTGTGGGAGAAAACCTAGGAGTAAACAATCATGGAACGATGAATGCCAACTCGTAGGCATAGCCTGTGGCCGTGAGTTCACCTCGCCATGACCATGGAGCTACGCCTCTCTTTCGCTTTTAGTTGCTTCTTCGTGCTCAAGCCCTTGTATGCTTGTACCCCGTTTGACCATCATGTTTCTCTGATTCTCGCGGTAACAACCACACCGCTTCGAATCCGAGAGATATCTCAGTGCCAGGGCACCCAAGTCGGGTACCCTACGAGTGGCTTACGCACTTGGTGTTCTTGAGCGTCGCTCCTTCCGATGCCCCGTCTTTGTCGTAGCGTGTGCGTTAGAAGAAGTGGACCTTGCTCTTGGTTGTTCCTGCTCTTGTTGCCCCGATAGCCTGCTCTATTCAATCCCGTCATGCCTATAACTGTTGGATCAAAGACCGGACTATTCCCTTTTGTTAGCGAAGCTATGGTCTATGTCGTACCTCGAACCCGTGCGTGTTGACCCGATCGACCGTCTAAAAACCATCTTCCCCGAAGATGTGTCTGGGAACATAACATGGACATGCCTAGCTAACCTCGCTGCTTTTGCCATGTTGAACGACTATCTCCTCGGCTCCTGATGTTGATGTGTCATGTGGATCGAGAGGACCCGTCGCTGTCCAACCTCTTTGCGCTACCGCTTCCTACCATAGCGGGTGAGCCAAAGTACATTGGAGCCAAGTTACAATAGTGTTATTCGTTCTTGTTTGCTACTCGTGTCCAATTATGACTTGCGGGATAAGGCTATAAGAGTCGAACCCCGTTGTTCTTCTTTCTTGGGGCCCGATTTCCAATCCCCGTCAACCCAATGACACCGGATCGAAAGATCGTGAGCCGTGGTGTTTGCTCTGGATAAGCTCTGGCTTAAACCGTTTATCGTAAAGCCATACTAGCTTGGCCATGACTTAAGCTTATGCTCAGCAAACCACCACTTGTGATTCTTTGGCCCGAGGAAATCGGACAACCGCCGAGAGGGCTAAGCCATGTATCTCTTATTGCCTCACTAGTGTTATTGGATTTTCCTACGTCTTGTCGTCTTTTCGAGCGTTGAGTTCTCTCTTGCCTTGCGTGTCGCTTCGTGGAGTAGCTGACGATTGGACCAAGAGAACATGGACAACGACAAGGACTATGGAATGGAGTCAACGCAGGAGGAGGTGACCCCGCTATTGGAACACCAACGAATGGAGAATTGTACCACTACTACCTCTACATCGCAGGTGTCATGGAAGCACCCTCTTTTAGAGAATCCTATTAGACATTGCATAATATCTAGAACTGCTAGCGCTTTATAATTATTCCTTTGATAGTACTTTGATGCATGCTACTACCTGAGCCATTATTACCCTGATGCAACCCACTCTACCACTTCACCCTGCTTTGTGCATTCGCTTGTTTATATATGCTTACTTGCCTGCTTGCTTGCATATTACACCACTATACTTATTAATAACTCCACTTCGCATTATATTAGGGATGTGATGCTGGTGGTGAACCCCTAGGGAATGGTTCGGCTATGGGTGCCGGACTTGGTGGTGTGTGAGAGTGCTGCGTGTGTCTTGGGTGCGTGGAGAGTGAGGGTTGTGTCGACCGAGCTAGAATAACGATGAGCCTGGGGCGAGTCTTGCCATGTGGTGCTACCTGAGCACTTGGATATGGAATACCTGTGGCGGGTAAATGGTAATTGGAGGTGGCCTTGGGTGTGAACCTCGGAGAGGTGGAGCCCGGGGTGGAGGTGTTGTGGTGGCACGGTAAATGGAAACCCTGATGAAGACATTCTGGCTTGGTCACCCCTAAGGACTTACTAGTACTCAGATTCACCGTGAATCCTTTACATCCCACTCGCCCTATATGGTGCGGGACGGTCGGACTACTTGGTAGAATGATGCCACTACTGCTAGGCGAACGTGTGCAAGGAGGTACGGGGCGCGCGGTTTCCCCCACACCCTTCCGAGACTTCAGGAGGCCTTATGGACCGGCTCTTGACATCCGGTGGGCCCCGGCTCTGTCTATGACTCACAGTATCAGCCATCCCAGACTAGACTTGGGATGTTCCAGGGCTGAGAGGTAGGGTGGCATTGTTCTAGGCTAGCAAGCGGCCGGAATCTGCCTAGACGGGGCACCGTCGAGGATGGCTATCTTGTGGGTATGTGAAACCTCTGCAGAGTGTATGATTGATCGATCGATACATATGCCGACTTGTCGGCTATGGACCTTTCCTGGGTTTCGCTTAAACTAGATAGAAGATGAGTCCTTCTATTCTCCCTCCAGGGTTTGGGGTATTTTCCGATCATGAGCCTTGGGGGCTGCGGACCATTGAGACAAGGCCGAGAGGGAGTTGGCCTATCGACCTGAGTGTGTGAGATGAGATATGGTGTGGTGGTGTGGAGATGGTTTGGGATGGATGGTTGGTGGATGGATACGGATGGTGTGGGGGTGAATGTGTTAAAAATTGGATATTATTATTACTAATGTTAGTTACTTCTCATGCACTAAGGATGCAAACCACAACCAAATATTAGGATCGCCAGATCCCTTGTTTATCTTTTCCACTAAAGCTCATCAGTGCTGATCATGGCCTGCACACATCTGGTGGTGTGCAGATTTTCCTGCTTCTCAGAGATGCTGACTTTAAAAGGATTAGGAGGTCTCGTGCCTACGCTCAAGTTTGGTTCGGAGATAGAATCTACGCTGCACTACGCCAACTCTGATGACGACCCGTGAAGGAGAAGCCTTCACTCGATAGTCTTCCGCTAGATTAACTCTGTAATAGGTGTGTTCCCCAGTGATGTAATATCTTGTATTCCTGTAAGCTTACGATGTACGACTGTGATATCGACTGATATATGATAATATGATGGAATCAACTATTGGTTTCATCATATTATAATTCATTCTGTGGATATTCCCTTCGCGGAAAATTGAGGATGTTTCAAGAAGGGTCTAGGGTTTCTGACTTGTGGGCCAGACCAACTTTTGCACGGGAGCTGGGCGCGCGAGAAGTGGGCGCGTGAGCTAGGTGGGGCCCATTTATTTTTGGCGTCAGACTGACTGACGGTGTACATGATATTAGCGACAGACCGTTAAACGTTAAAAATGAATACCTATAGCGACAGACATTGAATCGCTAA